AGAAAACAATTTAGTGAGCATTGTGATAATACCAGAAAATCGACAAGTAAAATTCTTTGACCTCATTCTTGTTTTCTTGGAAAACTGAGGTAATTTCCTAAAACTTTTATGAAGACTATTTGTTCAAATTCTGATGTTAGCAATGATATTAGTTATCAGATCAATAGTTTTGAGTTTTGGTCTATAAAAGGAGGCATTTACCATGTATTTAGACATCTTGGTTTTCAAATCAAGATCATTTTTTTGCTTTCTCTTTTTGTAATGTACAACTTTTCTTTCGTGTTATATTAATTTCTTGTTTATATTTTTCATCATAACTATTTTCTTATCTAGTTTATTTATATTTTTCTTTTTCATTATGTGTAGCTAAGTTGATTATGTTAAGGTAAAAAAGTAACATTAATGGTATAAGAATAAGTATGGTGTAAACTTAACATGAACTTTAATGTTTGATATTAACATGTAATCTTATTCACTATTAATTCTTTATTTGTTAAATGAATAACCTAGATTTATATTATATAACCTTTGGTAAAATAAATGCTTGACCCTTTAATAACCTATTGTATGGTTTAACCAACATTTGTGCTATGAAAGGAACTCCATGATAAAAATGCACTTTTAAGTACTAATCAAATACCTGACAACATTTATAAGTATTAATATTATTTGAACAAGATAACAAATGTAATTATATTAACAATTTATCATCCGATTGAAACATTCTTTGTGTGTGATTTCCAGTTGAATAATAATAAGAGTTTATATTATACTTATTTAAAATACCATTCCTGGATCTTCTAATCTTGATATTTATTTTTATCATTGTTCAATCCTCACATTAATCTTACATATCAAAATTCTCTTTAACTCCTTATTATTATTATTATTATAGTTAACCTCTCTGTGGTTCAACCCCAGTCTTACCGAGTTATTTATTACTTCGACACTCGTACACTTGAAAGAAAATATCAATCTTTTGATCATGTCAGCAGTATAATGCAAAAAGCTCAAGAGAAATATTGGACACTCTATAAGATTGATAAAGAAAAAAAAGGGTGAAATATTTTTCTATCGTTAAATTTTAGTCCACATTGCTTTAATTATTTTAAATCAATAAAATATTTTTTAATTTTTTCATACCAAGTATCAACCATAATCTTTTTTTTTTCTTGGAACTGCAGGAACCCTATCTGGAGCCAATTAAAGCAAACCATCAAATCAGATCTCAATTGAATCTAATTTAAAAGGATAAAATTATTAAAGAGCTAAACAAACTTGAGTTAAAAAAAAACATGTGATATTATTATAATCCTCAATAAAATGTATATGTGTGAATTTTTCCTATTAGCTTTTTTTTTTAATTGTAATGTTACCACGATTTTTATTAAGTAATACTCTAAAAGGCGTGGGAAAAGCACTGTAGTTTCCTCATGCCTGTACTTATATATTATAATTAGAATTATAATAATATAACTTATATATTATAATTATACTTATAATAATATAATAATAACAACATATATTTTGTTTTTTTTTGTGTTTTTTCCATTTAATAATTTTTTAAATTGAGTTTGTTAATGTTAATTTTTTTTATTTAGTTATCAAATTTTTATGACATGGATCCCGAGTTTGACAGGTTAACCCAAAATTATTTTTTTTTATTTTTTTCTTTTTAATTAATTTTTTTATTTAGTTTAGTTTGTTAATGTTAAATTTCTTTCTATTTAATTATCGAACTTTCATGACACGTATCCCAGACTTGACAGGTTAACCTCATTTGACGGTTTAACCTAGTTAACCCGTCAATTTTTTTATTTATTTAGTTATCAAACTTTCACGACGTGAATCTCAGCTTTGACGGATTAACTTGGGTTAAAGGGTTAACTCAGTTAATTCAGATTTTTTTTCTTTTTTTTGTTGGTTTTTTTTATCTTTTTGTTGGTTTTATCTTTATTTTTTATTAATCTATTTAATTATCATATTTTTATAACATGATATTAGAGTCAAACCCATATCTAAAGCTATTAGGTCTAGTGTTGTAGCCAAACTCAGTTCAATTTATATCATGTAAGTTTAATGTTATTATTAATATTATAAATATTATCTGTAGTTTAGGTATTGAATTTAAATCCAAGAATTTTAGATATAGTTTTATAGAAAAATATAATATTTTTTAATTTTAATTTATTTTATTTTATTTATATAAAAATATTAACGTGTGATATTACTTGGTCACGTAACTAGTAAAAACCAAAGCTCCAAGGATTAACTCAACCTCTACCTCATCACTTATAAATACATACAACGTTTTCATTATCCCAATAAAAAAATCTGAAAAGTAACTTTTCTTGGGGATCGGAAACAAAATGCTATTCAAGATAGCGACCCTAAAATGCAACTATGTGAAAGGTAAGAAGCTATAAATTTATCTCATTCAATGATAGCACTATGCAAGACAATCATTCCTAGCCAACTATTTATTCTTTTGCACGGACCCGTGAGCAAAGAAGCACCATTGTTTGAAAAGATCATCAACCGAATCAGGCATCACCCACACAAAATCCCACCATCCCATATGCGAGACCATAATAACCACACACACACACACACACACACACCTCACAGCAGTGGAGAGAAAGAAGACTAGCAGTTTTAAATCAAAGAATTGGAAGCGGCATCAATGATTCCTTTGTTAATTTTTTTTTAATAATAATTTAGATATTATTGAAAAACCAATTTATCATGAAATTTATAGTAAATTAGAATTTAAAACATTAAGGGACATATATATATATATATATATATAAAATGTTGACAAACTCCTAATCCGAAACCACTTCACTTACTAGTCCATGATAAATTGTCATCAGAGCCTCTAATTAAATCATTCCTTGTGAATGTAAAGTTATTATTCCAAGTCTTTAACTAAAGTGTAAGACGGTGGAGAATGAGCTGAAACTGAACATTCCAATCTAGCATTTTATCCTAAAAAATCAGCTTGTTTCTTGCAGTCAAAAAACCCCTCAAAATATCATACGATAGCATCATTATATAAGGCACTTCACTGGAACTTGCCTTTGCCCTGTTCTACTATCGGCTTATTATTTGATTTATTTTATTTTTATTTGGCATGCAGTTAGAGATAGCAAACCAATTCTGAAATTGTTGCCACAGTCTTCACGGGTGGTAGTAATGAAGAAAAAAATGATTATCATGTTATGTTATGTTCAATAATGACATGCTAGGAAAGCTCTAGCACACACTCTATCATTCCTGCGGTAGCAGTTATATATGATGAACATTTCAATTTTTGGTGGGGAAAATCCTTCCCAGAAGAGGAAAGAGGAAGTGAAGTTTCCTTGAAAAAAATATTGTCTTTAGTAGTTAGTTAATTTACCAAAGACAATATAAGATGATGAAAGACTCCACTTGAACCTAGAATATCCCCTCCGTGTCATGGATCCACGCCAAACGATCTTGAACATCTTGACATGAAAGTAAACTCGGAAGTAAGCTTTTAAGAGGCTCAATTGGAAACAATGTTTTTATTCATGATATTTTTATCTTGCGTTTTGTTTTTCCTGTATAAAAGATAACTTTTTTTTGTCCTTTGCAGCTCCCCTAGAGAAAGGCATGCGTGTCATGTCCAAATTGATAACAAATTAGAACACTAAGTTTGTACCCTTCTATTTAATGCTTATAATTGGTAGCTTCTTATAAGCTAGCAGCTTGGGAAAAGATACTTGTTTCAAGATATTGATGAAGGCACTCAATCAATTTGTGGCGTCTTTCTGTATTGGTTAATATCAAAAGTTTCACTAGTAATAGTGTTATTATAAATTTACATAGATTTTTATTTTTTTTTCTTTACACATGTTATATTTATCACTTTAAAATATATATTTATAATCATTATTAAAGGAGTTACTAAAAAAAGTAATCATCTCATCTAATTATATATATAAAAATATAAATTATATAAAAAAATTAAATTTTTATTATGGAAAGAACAGATATAATAATACCAAACATCTTCATGTATTGTAAATTTTGCATTCCGTAATATTATAATCTGTTTATAGGTTTTAGGAATTTCTTGTCGCAGCGCCATTGCAATTGTTATATATTTACAAGTTTAACACAATTACACTACCTAAAAAATCTTGAAATTACCATATTGTTTTCTTAAATTCTTAGATAAGGAGCTTCACATAGTAACAAAAGATCCCTCACAATTCTCGTTTTAGAGAGTTAGTGATTAACTTTGTAATGTCCAGACTCTAGTAGAGAAGTAATAATGTGTTTATGGTGACTATTTATGTTTTTTTTTTTAATCTGGAAATACTAATATTATGTATTTTAGTGAAATTCAATCAAATCAATGATGTTTGTCTGTATTTACAAATATTTTGCAAGCAAGATGGTCATGATCGTTATATAAAATCTGTAGCAGCCCGTGTTATACAGCGACTGTAATTTAAGAATCCGGTACTGTATGTTTCAATATCCGATAATCACACAACATAAAAACTAATCATAGTTTGTTTTTTCCAACACTGGATGTCGTGACACCCCACTGAACCATTTCTGAAAATTCTATGGTTGTTCCAGTAATTATAAAGAAACTGTCCGTTCTGAAAAGTTAATGTAACGTTTTGTGGAAATTTGTTGTGGCGTTGCATGTGAGGCAAATTAATATTTTTCAACGAGGTTAAATTAGAGTCGTCCGTATTGGACTGCAGTATGCTACTAGTAATGTAGATGGGGTGGGAAAGAGAAGGGTTTCTTTTTCCTTTTTATTAACTATTATTCTTTGATTAAGTGGTAATAGTAGATTTGGAATATACATGGTCTTTTGGGGTAGGAGCACTAAGCTAAATATCTGTTTTGGTAGAAGATTTATGTATGCTTAACATGCAATATGCAAATCGTGCACGATTTTAATTCGAAGGATTTGTAATGACAGGAGTTTGGGCAAATATTACACTTCAAACATGATATCAAAGGAAACTATTATTTCACATGGGATAAAAAACATGATACGACATCAGGGAAAACTAATGAAAATTATTCGTGGTAGCTAAATAAAACAGATAAAGCACAGTACAAGCGAAAACAAGCAGCTGTTTTCCTTGTATCACACAATTCTTAATAGAAAACATCAACGCGTGCAAAGGCGTACGCGAATATGTTTAGGAACATTGGAAGTCTTTGGGAACTTTCTTTCCACAGACATTGAGAAGCAAGCTTAGAGAGAGTGGAATGTTAAGGTTGATACCCAGGATGTTAGCTTTGATGGCAGTGCAAAGGCAAACAGCAGACTCGAGATCAAGAAGGCCTTGAATGACACTGCAGCAAGGCTTTACAGGGGGATTGCCAACGGTGACATTAAGCAATGAACCGAGCAAATCAGCACATACACCTAATTTAAGTGCATCTTTAGGACACTTTCCACTGGAAGGGCTTGGTGTTGGTGTTGGCTTCGGCTTCGGCTTTGGCTTTGGCTTAGGAGACGGGCAACCCCCTCCACAAGCAGTGACTAGGGAAAAGAAGAGGAGGTTGAGTGCAAGAAAGAGAGCAAGTGATGCTGTGCTTTTGGAAGCCATTTCTATCAAAAGCTAATAGCTCCTTTTGAATTTAGAAGCTACAGCGAATACTAGCTAATAGAAGCTGCAGATGAGAGAACTTTAAGTGATGGAAATATGCACCAAAGGAGTGGCTTTTTATAGGGCCCAAGGAGGTCCTGTCGGTTAATTTGATGTTGAGACAAAATAATATATTGAATTTCTGCCAAAAAAACAAATTGAAGAAGTCCATGCACCCATGTGTGTGACTTGGGAATTTAGCTGGCAGCAGACAGGTGGAATTTTAGGCAAACTTTTGGATGCTTGTGTTTTATCTAGGGATTGCAAATTGCCATGTTCCTAGGCCCTAGCAACATTACCATGGATCATCCATAGTTAGCCAAGATTTCACTATTCCTGTGTATCCAGTAATGAATAAAGATCTGGTTTTTTTAATAATTCATGCATGAAATAACGTTAAGCGTCTCCCTGCATCAAATCCTTTGGTTGTGTATGAGATCACATGTCCCATGTCATCTGTGGTGCAGGGTTGGATTAATTAGCTAAAAGAACAAAGCATTTACTCCATCATTCTCTTCCTTTTAAAGACTGCCATTCGTTTCTACCTTCATTTTCATGAGCGGTACATATCTCTTACTTCCCTTCTATATTTGGCAATATCCTACTGCTGAGGACTAATTGGTTTTCATGATTAGAGGTTGTTCCCAGCTCTCATCCTTCAAGACGCTTCTTCTTCACAGTTGACTTGTACCTAATTAATCCTTCACTGTTTTTTTTTCCCCTTAACAGTCCGAATGGATTCATTATGAAAACGAGGGTGCAAAATTTAGAGCTTGCCACAAACAGAAAAGATCAGTCGAAGAAAATAAAATAAGCATACAAGGTAAATAAATTGACACTGACAAGGTTAAGCATAACTCGACTTGTACGGTGGAAGTACTAACCATGGATGAATCTCAGAAGATCCATTCCAATCAAATCATACATAAATTTTCAGAGATAAACCTAGGGCCACCTAAAAAAAAAGATTGTGTTTTTTGTTAAACGCATCAGATAATGGAGGGCCATGGTTTCAATCACAGCAAAGTTTTTCTATGATCTCTTAACCGATTTCAGTGTGAAACAAAAAGTTTTCATTTTCTTTTACTGTTAATTAGTGTTTCATGTGTACTGTTTATGAAAATCACTTGGAATTTGTCCCTTTATATAAATTATGGGAATGAACACTCTTCCAACTTGGCTTATTTGATTCTCGTGGAAGTTAGATGGGATCGAGTCACGGGCAACCCTAAAACCCACCCCATGGGCTCCACTGCAGATTTTGATGAAATTATGCATGCTATCAGCCGAAAAAATATTAACTTAAACCATTGTCGTGATCTATTAATTTTCCTGTCATTCACACCGTGTGGAGCCAGTTTTAGCTCCACTAGCTTTTGTGTCTGATGGAATTGCTCGACCAAGACAGCAACCCATCTTGCAAACCGTATATGATTTGATTTTAATTATTGCGTTGATTACCAGTCACACAGATTAGTACATGATTCCATTTGGTTCTATCTTGATCTGCAGAAGATGAACGCTTACGTGATAATGATGCATATTTAGAAACTCGAAGCTGATAAGAATATATTACAAGTATATGTAATTGAGTGCATTCCTCTGTTCGGAGGTAGCCTTTTGTCAATATCATGTGGAGTCACTAGCCAACAGAAAATTAAGGCCAGCCTGCTCCATCCGAAAATTCTAACTTCTTCGACCGATTCCTGACAAGGCTGTGCAGAAGATTAAATACAGAAAAAAACAATATTTGTTACTTTGATTGAATCCACAACATTGTTGGCATTAAATAAGGGAATATTACGATGAGCACATGTAACTTTCTTTTTCTCTTTTTTTTTCATTCCAACACACGCACACGCACGCGCATGTCTCTTTTTTTTTTACAATTGCATTTTTAAATATTATATTTCTCATTCCAACACACGCACACGCACGCGCACTCAAACGTACCATTACCACACCAATTATATATATATAAACACACCCGTGCGCATTGAAACTTACCATTACCACACCAATTACTGGGGACATTTACAAGTGATAAAAATTTTAAAAATATTTTTATTAAAAATATATATTAAATATTTACAAGTGTGATAAAAATTTTAAAAATATTTTTATTGAAAATATATATTAATTTTTTTTTTATTTTTTAAAAATTATTTTTATATTAACATATTAAAACATTTGAAAACATCAAAAAAAAATTAAAAGCAAAAATATAAAAAAAATATTTTAAAAAAAATCATCAAAAAAAAAATTAAAGCAAAAATATAAAAAAAAATATATTTTTTTTAAAAAAAACAAGAATAAATGCGCCCATTGTACATCCCCCCGACCTTTTTTTCCGTCAAACACTCATTTCCCTCATCTCACTGTCCAAAAATTAATCAATGTCAGCCATACTTACCACCACCGCTGTCGCTTCACATCAGGCCTCCACCTT